ATTTCAAATAGTTAATTTGATACTAATATCGATATATTTTTGTCAAATTTTTATGATATCTTCAAACATATATTTTATTCAAAAATAAAAACATCATCGATTTCTCAAAATCACATAAAGTCATATTATAACATCGACTGAGATAAAAAATAAAATGAAATATTAAAATCACGATGTATCTCGCTGTATTGTGCGGGTACGCTTCTAGTATATATATATATATATATATATATATTAATCAAATTGATCTTTTAAGTTAAAAAACCAGTAGATCTGATGCAACATGTTATTGCAATCTTGATGGCAAAAGAAACCTGATTGACCATCCCCATTTATTTTTCAAAAGTTTGGCCCTTACATGTATAATAAATTGTAAGATATGCATGTCCCACCCCCTTCAATTTCATTTGTAAAAACCACATGCACCGGTTTCGGATAAAATAACCCAAACTTATTTAAGGTTTTAATTAAAACTAAAAGGGTACACGTACAATAGAGCAAAATATATCTTTATTTTTAATGTTTCGTTTTATTTTTTGTCTTTTTTTATATAATAAGATTTATGGTTTTGAGAAAGATAATGTTTTTACGATTTAATTAAGTATTTTATTTTTGGCTTAATAATAAAATTTTATAAAGATAATAATTATGTTGGAACTCAATATTTATCTTAATTATATTTTAGATTTTTTATATAAAAAAAATAAGATGTTTGCCCTATATTTGATTATGTTTATCTAAAGATAGTTATACAAATTCAAAAATGAAGTTTTAATTAATAAGTTGTACTTACGCATACTTTACTTATAATCTTAAATTTTAAGTAATATGCATTAATACACAGTACTTCATGCATAAAGAATGGTTTTTAAGAATTTTTGTCAAATACTTTATAATATAGTATAGATAAGCATTTACATATATTTTCTCAAATACTTAATTAATTAATGATATAAATATTATAATACTTCAAATTAGTAAGTAAATTTAAGGTCGAACATTAATCGTAACATTTAATTACGGAAAAAAGAAAATTTGATGATGAATCTCGAATCGGTTTTTCGGAATAAAAATCCATTTAATTATGGAAAACATTATAATTAATTTGATTTTGCTTATAAATAATCTCTGATGATTTTTAAAATGATATTTTTTGTAATTCTTGAGTTTTTGTTATTTTCTTTTAATAAAATATAAACTGTTATCAAAAGAAAAGAATCTAAATTAAAGTAATAAACTTTTCTTTTGAAAAAGATGCATATAACATATGATTACGATGTCACAAGTTGGAATCATATTTTTAAACATATTATTTAATTATAAGATTATGTTATAAAATAATCTTTTATTTCTTAATTTAATATTATAAAAATGGATGCAATAAATATAAAAAACAAGATTCTGCTTTTTTGATTTTATTCATCTTACAAAATCTTTTAACGGACACCGTAACTTGCTGTCGATTTTAGAATTTTAGTTGTTGGACAAATTTAACCCTCTCAAATGTCATAAGCATTAACTTGTTATCCATTTTGCAGTGGTGGGTCGTATAAGTGCAATACAACGCATTATGCGCATCGTACAACTGATAAAGAACAGAAATGGGTGGCAAAGGACGCAGAGGGACCAAATTGATGGAGATATTATGAGGGGTATAAAAGTAAATTGAAGGGGCCATTTTCTTACCTTACTGGGGATTCTCCGGCCATAGAAAACAGACTGCTTGGATTCCGTCGAGTTGGCAGATGAGTCGGAGCTATGAACGTAGATGTTGAAAAGACCATCATGCCCTTTGAAGAATTTCTCCCACAACGGCGCCAGCACCACTGGTCCTCTCGTCAGAAACATGAACGCCACCTTCGGAATTCGATTGAATGGATACTTTTGCACTTTAGGAACCATTGATGCTCGCCAAATCAACTCTCGATCGGTCATCTGGTGCATGATCTCCGATGGATGTATGAAATTTTCCAGCCCTATTTTAGGTGTTGACGGCGGTGGGAAGGAAGTAGAGGCGGCGGCGGTGGTGATGGTGGTGGTGGAGAGAGAGAATTGGTTGAATCGGAGATTGAAGGAGACGTTATTGAGTTGGAAAGTGAGCAATATTCCGAAACATAAACCAAAGGCGAAGAAAAGGATCAGAGAAAGGAGATTTGATGGTTGTAATGATGGAGTATGGAAGAGCTTCAATGGAGAAACTACTGTGTTTTGATTATTCTTCATTGTTCCAGAGAATTAATCAGAAACAAGTATGAGTTGATTTCCACTGATCAATTTCAGTGGAGTTGAAGAAATCAAGAAGATCCAGAATAGAACTCTGATCCAGAGGGTTTGCAAATGGAGAAGATGAAGAATTAAGATTATGGATTTTGTAGAACGAACGAAGAGAACGGTCAACAATGTCGTTTGGTATGGGGAGGGAGGACTAGGACACAAAGCTCACACATAGAGATATATATATATATACACACACATACAAACACACGTACATATAGAATATTATATAAAGGGTTGGATTTAATTGTAAAACAAAATTAGATTGTAAATCAGTGGATAAATGTTGTCATTGGTCAAAATTTAAGATGATGATTTATTATGCAATCCTTTACATTTGTACAACTAATACAACTCAATGTTAACCGTTTATTTAATTTGATGAATATGTGATTTCATAAAACTTTTGATTGTTTTCTAATATAAAGTATTGATCATAATTAATGAATCCTAGTTATCATCCATAAATATTCAAATCATAACAAATGAACTATCATCATTTTCACAAATATCTCAGTTGATTTGGTTGCATTGATTGTACAAATATAATGAGTTGCATTTGAAACGTCCTACATATATATATATATATATATATATATATACATACATACATAGAGAGAGAGAAGAAGGATCCTATGAAAATAGGATTAAAGTCAGAAGTATAAAATATGATTTGAATATTTGATCATTTTAATCTCATCTCACCCTATGAATTGTGCTTACCACAACGTGAACCTGTGAATACCAAATTAAAAAATTTATTAAGGTTATTTACATTATAATCATAATTTGTTCATTTTATGTGCATGATATGTATGCTAATACGGAGATAAAAAAAACAAGAGTAGAGAGAGAAAGTATTAAATATGAAATTTTCTTTAAAATGTATTGATTTTGATTTGATAAATAAAGATAATTATCTATTTAATCATTTTATTAATTAATAAAATTAATTATCTTAAATTAGTGGCTTAAAATGGATCTTATCAATCTTATATATTTTGGAATTCTTCAAATAATTAACACACACACACTCTCTCTCTCTCTCTCTCTATATATATATATATATGTATGTATGTATGTATATATGGTTGGATTCACGTGAGATCAAGAGTTTTTCATGAGATACATAAGACCAATTCATGTTTATTGATCAACTTTATAAGTTAATGATTTAATAATCTAAAATTTTACGGTGACAATTTTGTAATTATATATATATATATATATATATATATATATATAATATTGTAGCTTTTGGTCTTGGTACGGAGTGAGTTGCTTGTTATAGTCAACAACCGCTAAATGCTAAAACCATATTCTTTACAAATTTTCTATAATTTGATTTCATATAAATTAGTAAAAGCCAAAAAAATTAATGAAATTGCTTTTTGATGTCGATGGTCTTTTTTATTTTAAAGAATTTTATACTATTTTTATTTTTGTTCACCTTTTTTTTCAGTTTCTAATAATAATATAAAAAAATTGTTGCAACGTCATCTAGAATTCTTTAAAATTTGCAATGAATCATGCTCATATCAAATTCTCTCCTTTTGTATAGAGGTGAGTTATTATATAACAATTTATATTTGTACAATTAATATAATTCAATCTCAACCGTCTATTTAATTTGATGAATATGTGATTTCATATAATTTTTGATTGTTTTTTAATATAAAATATTGATTATAATTAATAAACCTTATTTATCTTCCATAAATATTCAAATCATAATAAATGAACTTTCATCATTTTCATAAATATCTCAATTTATTGGATTACATTGGTTGTATATATATATATATATATATATATATATATATATAGGGGTTCATTCAATAGAGAACTGATTAGTTTGTGGTAACTGTGAGATCCAATTTCAACAAAAAATCAACGGATAAATTAAGAAATTAATAATTATGGTAGTTTGAGTTAAAATTATAATTAGAGGGCATTTTAGGTATTCTTAAAAAACTCTCCTCTCCTCTCTTCTCTCTCCTCTCTCCTCTCTCATCTCTCCGACCTCCAATATCCGGCCTCCGGTGAACAAAAATCCGGCATGTACCAAGTAATCACAAAGATACACAATGTGATACTCATTGTGATACCATTTGGGTACCACTGTATATCACAATGGGTATCACATTGTGTATCTTTGTAATTACTTGGTACCTGACGGATTTTTGTTCACCGGAGGCCGGAGATTGGAGGTCGGAGAGATGAGAGATGTGAGATGAGAGAGGAGAGAGAAGAGAGGAGAGATGAGTTTTTTAAAAATACCTAAAATGCCCTCTAATTATAATTTTAACTCAAACTACCATAATTATTAATTTCCTAATTTATCCGTTGATTTGTGGTTGAGATTAGATCTCACAGTTACCACAAACTAATCAGTTATCATTTGATTAAGCCTATATATATATATATATATATCATTTTGGCTTATAACTTCTATTAAAAAAATCAAAATTTTATTTTCCTAATTTCGTATAATGATATTGAAGAATGGTTATATTCGCATAAAACTAAATTGAAGGGGTAAAAGTATCTATTTTGGAAGTATAATGACCATAAGTGGAAACTGACAATAACTTTAAGGACCATAATATTTTGAATATAGAAATCCTAGTAGAAGTGTAGAACTATAATATCTATATATAAGAGTAAAATACAAATTTGGTTGATGTGGTTTTTAAGAATAACACTTTCCATCTTTCTAGCTTTTAAATTATAAAATAATTATCGTGATTTATAAAATATACAGATTTGATCCCTTCTTCTAACAGTCGTTAAAAAATTTCATTAAATGAGGAGATCTTCGTCCTTTTATCCAATAAAAAACCCACATCAAACAAAATCATAGAATCCATTTTGATCAGGGAAAAGACAAAAAATTTTGATAAAATAATTGAAATTTCTCATATTTAATGGAATTTTTTAACAGCCTAGAGAGAGAGAGGGGGGGGGGGKGACGGACTAAATCCGGTTGTTTTTTCAAATCACAATAGTCATCTTATAATTATAAAAGTGTAAGGATGAAAAGTGTGATTTTGACAAACCACATGAACCAATTTTGTGTTTTACTCTAAATCTATAACAAGAATTAAATATAAACTTTGCCATGTGGTTTTTATAAATTGACAAGTAAGGTCTTTAAAAGAAATTATTAACAAGAGACGTCCTTATATTTTCAATTTTTTAACGGATATGGTCGTTCTTTAACTCATTCAGTTAAGTTTTGTTAGGGGGGTTGAGGGGAGCATTTTGATGTATTAACCTTCTTTTTTCCCTAACTTCAATTTTCAATAACAACTTTAGTCTCTGTCTCTCTGATACTACTTTTACTTTTGTAACATATTTGGTCCTTAACATTAGTATAACATATTTGGTCCCTCAAACAATTTTTTATTTTTATAACAAATTTGGTCCTTCTCTCAACTTTCATGTTTAGGATTTGGTCCATTCATTTAATCAATAAATTTTGAAGCTTAGATTTTTCCATTAAATATTTCATCTTTTCATAAACATTACTTTCATAAAATCATTCAGCTTAAATAAAACATAATTTTGATAATTGTCTTTTTAATTTGTTGAAAATTAAAGAAAGTTCTAAAATTAAGTAACCGACAATATATTAAATAATAAGATATAGAAGTTTAAGTTTAAGTAATTTAATAAAACTACTTAATATACAAAAAATATATTATAGCTACTTACATAATAATTTTAAAATATAAATTTAACTATTGTATATATATTTAAATTTGTTGGGTACTTAATTTTAAAACTTTTTAAATTTTCAACTAATTAAAACAGATATTTATCAAATTTGTATTTTATTTGAGCTAAAGGATTTCATGAAAGTAGTGTTTCTAAAAGAATAAAATATTCAATGACAAAAATCCAATCTTCAAACTTTATTTAATTATTTTGCTAATTATATTTAGAAAATATTTTTTTGTGCCACCAACTTTTATTGATTAAATGGAGGGGCCAAAATTGTTATAAAAATAAAAAAAATGTTTGATTGACCAAATCTATTATACTAATGTAAATTAGTTTAAGAGACCAAATATGTTACAGCAATAAGAGCAGTATGAGGAACCAAATTCATTATTGAAAATTGCAGTTATGGAAAGAGAAGGGTGAACAGATAAAAATGCCCCTTCGCTAACGGAAACCTAACTGAATGAGTTAGAGAAAGAACCATATTCGTTATAAAAATAAGCTATAGGAACGTCTCTTATTAATAATTTATTTTAGGGACCTTATTCGTTAATTTATGTAAACTACAGGGATCAAATTTGTATTTAACTCTAATGATAAAGTATATAAGAATGATTCTTTTATTATTTGACACATGTTGGAATATACTTTGGGAAGTTCAAGAAGAATTTTTGTCCCACTTGGAACATGATATTTTATTATTTTAAATTTCTGTTTAGTTTGTTGTGTCGATTACTCATATTTTAGTTTTATTAATTTTCAATAATATATTCATATTATTGTAGAAATATTTAAACAAGCTCTTAAAATACATTCTATCGATATAATATTGTTTTGTGTGGTTTTGAGAAAGCAATAATGTTTTTATTTTTGAATGAAGTATAAATTTGAAGATAGCATAAAAATTAAAAAAAAAATCGATATTAATGTCAAATTAACAATTTAATAGTTCCCGTTTTTTGGTGTAACTTCGTTAATTTAATTTTATTATTATAGTTTAATTTAGATTTAACAATAAATTAATTTATTTTTGATTTAATATATAAATTTTTTATAAAGGTAATAGTTAAACATTTTGTTAGAACTCAATGATTATCTTAATCATATTTTAGATTTTTTATATTTAAAATAGATGTTTATTCTATATTTGATTATTTTTATCTGCAGTTGGTCACACGAATTTAAAAAATGGTGTTTTAATATCTTAAATTTAAAGTAATATGCATCAATAAACAATACTTCATGCATAAAAAATGGTTTTTAAAAGTTTTTGTCAAATGCTTTATAATATAGTATAGATTACTAGAAGGGTGGTCGCATAATATAACGGAATATATCTCAATTTTAATTATTCGTTTTA